GGGCTAATTTACAAGTGCATTTCTTGGCTAACAGCAGTGGGGAAGTGCTGCTGTAACTGTAATGAGTCTGTCAGGTTGAGTATCTAACACAGTTTATCAGTTCATAAATAGGAGTTAATACATTTTCAAACACGTCCTACAAAGGAAACATACTCCCTGATTTAAATGTGGCCTCTGTCCCTTCAAAGTTGTCTTTTTTGTGCAGTGATGGAACCCCTCAGTGGTCTCTTCAACATTTTGATCTCTGCCTGGAACTCCTGTTCTGAACAATTTAAGGTTTGCATTTGTGATTCTACTAGATCCCTCCCACTGTGCCAACACACCAAAGAAAAGGCACACAGTTCAGCTCATTTTCACCAATTTTCCCTCTCAGATGCTTCAGGATGTTAGAAGTGTTTGACCCTCGGGGGAACCAATTTATGATGCAAACATGTTAATGTCACAATAAAATTACAAGCACGCTCTGGGTCACACTCTGAGCCTGGTGTGTCTACTTCATGTTTGGAGACTGCAGGCTGCTCTGCAGGAAACTGCTGTTTGGTTTGAAATCCAAAGCTCATCGCTGGTGATGATTCTGGACATTCAAGCATAGCAGGAATGCTGTGAGCACTGTATGACTGCAAGAGCTGACAACCTTGAAGGGAATAACATCTCAATTCATGGGAGCACTCACTCAAGTATTTGATCATGTCTCATAAAACTGAAATGATTTTAGATTTTTTTTTCATCAAATAACACACTATGTCAGAAAGTTTTTTAAAAACACTTGACTTGTTTTTCTGTTGCCTGTTTAATCCACTAAACGGTTCATTTCCTCTGCCAACATTTTGTTTTTATTGCTTTCTCTTTGTATCGCCCTCTGATAACATCCATGTCCAAGTCCTCATCATTAACAGGCCGGATCACCAAACTGTCCGCTGTAAGCAGCCCACTTAATCCTCTGATGGGAGTACTGGCTATCTTCCACAATCATCTCTCCGGGTTAATGTCTGTCGCAGGCTGGTGTGTGTGTGTATGTGTGTGTGCGTGTGTGCATGTGTGTGTGCGTGTGTGCATGTGTGCGTGTGTGTGAGCCAGGATATTTGTCACACACAACCGACACTACTTAAATCTGAAGGCACTTTGTACTGTACACTCACACTCTGCCTGTGTCCTCCAGGGTAGAGGTGCCTCATTAGCCAAACAGGCATAAAACACTGCATGTCCAAATGGAGGTGTTTTATGCTGAATGCATACTAAACACGGTTACATAAGGAGCAACGATCAGTGTGACCCATAAAACATCCATTTTTTTAGGCATATAAATGTCATCTATACATCTGGTCAACGCATTCCACTGAAAGCCCGCATTCTCCTAAATCAGACTTAGTCATTTTAGGATAAAAGTACCTCATCAACAAATCCCAGCTCAGAAGAGTTTTACTTTCAAATGTACATAACACCACAGTACAGTACCTTACATTGTTTTTTGCAACTGTTTTTGAACACGTCTCTGTTTGTCTCGACCAAAAATATTGTGGTGTGCAGTTAAATTTGTGCTAAAATGCTGATTCCTGATGCTGTGTACTAAAATCCTGTACAGTGATGAGAATCCCAAACAAAACTATAAACTAACTGGTTTATTTTACACCTAAAGGCAGGAGGAGTTTTCTTTGAAAGAAGTAACCAATGCTTCCCATACCTAGACTTTATTGAGCCAGGTCACCTAAGAATAATAACACCCACCATAGAACATTTTTGTATATTTATGGCATTTTTGTCATTTAACGGGCAACAGTCCCCTTGCTTTTACTTTGAAAGGTCAGTCCCCACTAGCGAGCTAGCTGACAGGCTGACCTGAGTGCTTTTGTGGCAGTTATCATTCAGCTGTCTCTCCAAAGGGTCTGTCCTTTCATGGTCAGACAGATTCCAATCATAGTTCTTGTTCTGCTCTTGAACTCTAAGCAGTGGATTTATTATTATATAGTATTCAGAACATTATCATATATTAATTAATATTATAACATAATATAGACTAGAGATCTGCTGCAGTGAGCTGGCAGACTATCAGAATTAAAGCAAAAATTCAATCACGTAAGTCACATGACTGCTTCCACCCTGATTGTTGATCTGCCAGAGGTCTTTTCATGTTAAAAGGGAGTCCTTCCTCTCCATTATTGCCAGGTGCTCACACACAGGGGATTGTTTGATTGGTGTAATATTGTAGTCTTCACCTTTAAAGGTGCAGTGTGTTAAATCTCACCACTAGATGTCAGTAAATTGCAGATTGCATTTCCTGAATTCTGTCCTCTTACCCTTCCCAGTTCAGCTGTATAATCTTAGTTACAGAGGCCAACAGCTCTGGCCTTCACTCATCTGTAGTGAGGGTATACTGTCAGTCCCACGTTCACCTCAGCTGTCAGTAGTGGGTGTCCGTGTCTATTTACTCTGGAGGAGTCTGTAAAACTTTGTGAAGTGGATCTAACCTTGTTGGACTTGGACACTAAAAAAACATCATATGATGTGAGAATGTAATCAAATCGTTTATCAGAGAGAAAGTGTGATTTTTAGCACACTCAAGCCTAACATTAGCTGGCATAATTTTAGCTTTAGCCAGCTCACTGTCAGCTGTCCTGAGACGGACGGCTATTCTGCTGACAATGGAATAAATAAGATGTTTAGGGGCATTTTGGTGTGTTAGAGCCCTGATGTCGGTGCAGGAGATGATGTGTGAAGTGAGGAGGAAGAGCATGAGGTGGAAATGAGAGAGAAGAGAGGACAATGGTGGATGAGAAAGAGAGGATGAAAATATACATGTTATTTATGATCTTTAAATTAAAAATAACTTATAAGTTGTGCTACATATATGGCCACTTTCTAGTCACATACGTAAAATGCTATTAGGGGTCACGGTGATGTTCGTCTTGGCCACTAAATTTAAGATGGCAGGACAACATGATGGCTTCCACAAAACAGCACCTGCTCCTGTGTATTTTTAATTAATTTATTCTACATTTATGAGAACATATCTATTTGTATATCTATGAGCACAATATGTTTTCTATTAAATAACCTTTAAATATAAAGCACCTAAGGCTGGCTGTTGTTGTGAAGAAGTGATTTATAAGTAAAATTTAATTAAACTTAATCTCGGTTATCCTACTTTGATTAACCATAAAAGTGTCTTGAATTTTGTTATTTCTTAACCCACTGTCGCATATCTCCATCACAATATGAATGTGAGTAGAACAAAGGATACGCATGGATTATCCACAAGTCTGTGCAATCACACAGCTGATTAACGATGCGCCAGGTTACCACTGACTGTTCTCAGATGATGCTCTCACAAATGACAGCTTCTGCTCCCAAAATCCAACCATCACAAGCAACAAATAAGCAGTAATTTACGACTAGGGGCCATGCTGCTTTCACTAAATAACCATGGAATGACTAGAAAATATTGGTATAAGAGAAAAATAGTAGAAAATTTACATAAAAAGCAGAGACAGCAAGGAAAACAGGCTGAACAGATGCAAAAGGTTGTCGCTCGCCCTGTCAAAAATCAGCTTCCGTTTTCATCATGTGGAGACTCGCTGGCAGGACTGTCTCCTCTTGTGGGCTCTGACCCGCAGCTTGAACTTTAGAATAAAATTATATGGAAAGTGGGTGACTCGATTGTTTATGCAGCACGAGTGGAAGGAAAGACTTGTAAATAAACGAATGAGAAAAGTAAAGAACTTTTCCTCCTGCAGACAAAACTGAATTACAATTATGAGGCAAAATCAATTTGCAGTTTTTATGTTTTTTAGAAGGAAACGGTCAGGCATTCAAATTCATCCATTTATATCTAACTAGCTCCTATGCCAGCTGATTTAATTCATGAATAATTTCATCCTCAGAAAGTCCATTTGTCCTTGTCCCTCACTCTTTCTGTACAGCTGTACAACCTGCAGCCTCCCTGTGAGTCCTGATTGGAGGTGGCATTTTACTGGCACAATGAGAGCTGCCACTGCACTACGTGTCTCTGCTGGATCCAGCAAGACAGGCCCAGACGCTGCATGTCAGCTGTAATCCTCATTATGCTAATGAGCTTAGGAACTATCATCACAGGTCAGATGGGAAAAGTAGCCCTAGCAGAGAGAGCGAGAGAGGAGATAATGGGAGTGGTGGAAGGTGCTGAACAAGTTGGAGTGTGTCAGAGAAACAACCTCTTTAACAGAGCAGACGGCAGCGGGAGGAGGGACAGCTTTAAACTCCTGGGATGCTACTCGGGAAAGGAAGCGAGAATGGAAGATGCGGACGCAAAGGGACGTCTGCTTGTACCTGGAAGCATATAACCAGCTGTCTAGACACAAAGAATAAAGTTGAAATAAAAACGACCAAACTCGGGAGCCCTCCTGTAACCGACGGACACATCCAGATGTTGGTCAGCGCAGCAGATGGGACCCGCTGGTCTAGAGCAGACGCATCTGGATGGCTTTCCACTGCAACCTCTAGCCCAAATCCCTGAATATGTCCTAAAAATATCACGCAGCACATTAAAAATCTTTGCACTCCATCTGACAAGTACGACACAACCACTTTCCACAATTCCCTGATATCATCTGCCGCCCAAACTTGCAAAAAAGCAGCTCGTGACGGCCACTTAACAACTGACCAGACATAAGAGTGCATGGATTCTTTTTGGACATGGCGTCCAAACAGATTTCTGATTGTCGCCTAAGCTTGATCCTCGCCCACCATCTTATCGCTCTAACAGCATCATCAGAATGTGGAGTGTTTGAGAGCGCCCGAGCCCACTCGCGTGCCCACTGATGGCTCCGCAACGCCCAGCGACGAGGTCTCGTACCAGCGGAGCCCATGTGCGCAGAGGTGAAGCGCTGCACTGCGCCAGCCTCCTACATCTGCACTTCCTTCGCGGTGCCAAAGGCAACAAAGTCCATACGTCCACCCGTGTGGCATTTGATCACATGGACTAAACGTCTAAAAGGGTGGAAAGTTTTGTTGGCAACAGTCCTTACCTCCTCCTTGTGTGAGTCACCGGTGCGTCGGAGCTCACCGGTGCAGCTCCGCGTAAACGTTTGGACACCCGCAGAGGACAGCGGCGGAAGCACCTGTTCAGTGAGAGAATCCAGCAAGACCAGCAGTTACCTCCGTCCTCCTCACACACACTGATTCAACATTTCTCCTGACTCCTGCCTGCTCCGCCTGTCCCTCGCCTCCGGTCTCCTCCCCTCACTCACTCACTCACCAGCGCGCATTTACGCAGTCTCAAAAAGACCTCGTCCCCCCACCCCCACCCCCCGTTGGCAGCTGTGCCTCTTCATCATCCTGAAGTGAAAACACCCAACTCATCGCCACTTTATTTTATTTATTTATTTAGAAAAGCGCTATACAAATGCAGGCCATTTATTTTTAAACTCGGTGCCTGCGTCGCTGTTTCTTGCCTGAGCCGCCGCGCAGAGCCAGCACCAGGTAACTCCAGACTCACCTGAAAGAAGGGATGGCGCGTCTGTCGGTGAAGCTGCTCCACAAGCTGCTCTGCTGCCCCCGCGTGGACTGAGGGAACTCTCGACATCCGCTTAAAATACGCAAAATACGTCAGAGTGGAAACGAGACTTTTATTTAAAAAAAAAAATAAAAACTACACTTGTTACAAATGGGTCAGACCACACCCATCATCAAACTGTAATTTTTAACCTTTATATGATTTGAAAGTTTCATGAATGTTTTGCACAGAGGCAACTCTGTGTGTATAGGTCCCAAACAGTTCATTATGTATAGACTTCACATTGGGGAAGACGTTTACAAAACCTATGGATGGATTTTGTTGTTATTTCTGGTCTTATTCACTGATGTCCCTCTACAACAGAAGGAATAAATCAATCATCAGCAGCATATTTATCATGTATCACAATCAGTCCTGACCTGGCTCGTCACAAGTCGAAGTGTCTGACCTCTGACAAAACAAAGCAGCTAATTACTGAATTGTTTGAGCAGAAGCATCTTACTAAATCCTCACTTCTAACACCTCAGTTGAAGCCAGCTTTACAATTTAATCTCATCCCAACCCACAGAGACAGGAAGCATTTTATCTCTCACACACAGACCTTATCATTCCGTATTCTGACTTCACCATTTTCCACATGAAATAAGCTCTGGTATCTGCAGGAGTGTTTGGGCTTATGAAGAAGATAAGAATATTTCGCTTTTACAGTTAAGTGTCTGCAATGGTCACAACTAACAGTCATATAGTACAGCTCCGTACTGACATCAACACTGTACCTTGTGTCATTGAGCCTCACTGGGTCTCCTTTCTCTCTCTCACACACAGACACACAGTTACTGATCATAATAATCATATACATGAGTTTTATCTGTTTACGTAAATACAGCACATGTCGGAGAGGTTACCTTTATGGATTTGGTTATATAACGTTGATGATATCAGTACATTGAAAGCTACAGTGCTATGTGAATGCATTTGTTTGCATTACACCAAAGGTTGTCTTATTTTGCTGTGCAAAAAAAAACAACCCACTTGCTAACACGTGAAAATTAAAAGCATTAGCATTTTATTGAACATCAATGGGAGCATCTCCTTTAACAATAGTCAAACCTTGGGAATTTCACCTCAGTAATCAGTTGTTCACAGCTGTGTTGGCTTTGTTTTTACTAGATCTAATGTTGAAGTTTTGGTGCCTCCATCAAAAAATACAAACCTAGGAATCAATGCAATATTTGACTGCATTTGTCAGAGGTTTTCACACATCCAGTGACCTAATGGTTCAACTTACACAAGTTATTGAAAGGTTCAGTGTTGTGATTAAAGTACAAATCAGTTTGGTTTGTATGAATAAATAAATGACTGAGGTTTAAGCATGGTCTTTAAGCATGTGTTAACTGGCACTTTGAAATAAAATTTAAAAATGCCCCAGTGTTCAGTGGAAACATGAATTCAGTGTCCACAGAAACCAACATGGCAGCTGAAATGACCTGATGTGTGCTGAGCTATGAGATCATTTTAGATCCCTCAAAGTAAAATAAATAAATAAATAAATTTAAAAAAAAAGGAAATTTCCTGTTCTTCTGAACTGGTTTAACACTAAATAATGCATTTATTTAGTTGATTTTCTCCAAATATTGCAAACATGTGCACTACATTTGGATGGAATCCCATCTTCAATAAATAAAATACCTTTAATTTACATCATTTTAAATAAAAACTTTTAAATAATGTTAAAACTTGATAACTGGAGAGGTTTTTTTTTAAGTAGTAGTTACTGTCTGAGTGATTTTCCAGTGAGTATACAGGCTGTGATTCAGACCCTGACTGATACAAGTCAGCTGATATTATTGGCTGATAGCAACATATTAAATGCTCTATTCAAGATGTGCCAACCAAAACCTGGTTTTTAACATTACAAAGCAGAACATGGATTTTCTTTTTTCTTCTTTTTTTAAAAAAAAAAAACCTTCCTAAAAATCTGCATCAGCCCCAAAGAGTTCATCAGTCGGGTCTTCTGTGATGTTGTCACAGCTACTAAAGCTTTCTCTCCAAACTTTTCTTATTAGTGTATTCATCAGCAAGGAAAACATCGGTGAAAATATGCTATAAAAAAAAAAAAAAAAAAAAAAGAAGAAAAAAAAAAAAAAAAGAAAAAAAAAAAAAAAACAAAAAGAAAAAAAAAAAAAAAACACCAGTCTATCTACATCTGGGTCCTTTATATTACTGCTCATTTGGCTGTCTGTTAAAAACTGACCTGAGAAAAACAAAGTCATTAAAGCCTCCCTGGAAGCTTAGCAATAAACATATTCTAAAAACCCTCAAAGCAAAAATTACCATAACTTCCTCCCAAATTCAACGTATTAGACAATTCTCTCAAGCATGCCTTTAAATAAAATAAAAATAACTCAGTGCAAACAAATTAAATGCAAACGTCTCTGCAGCTCAGATGTTACTCTCTACCATCTAACTGCTTCATTGAGCGCTCCATAGACACCGGATCCGATCAGGAGCACGATATGTACTCTTCTACATCTATTATGGTGACTTTTGACAGCAATATTAAACCAGGTTACAGCTCAAAGTTTGAGCCAACTGTCACAAAGAGTTACTTTATGACTGCAGTGCATTCAGAAGTAACACATACTCAGTAATCAGATGCTTCAGTCACCTGAAAATATTCAAGTATTACCGCTGGGTTCTGAGTGGATGTAAACAGCGCCCAGAGAAAGAAAAAGGAGCTGAACCAAAACCCATAACTAACAGAAGAGCTGAAGAGCTTTTCTCCATATCTGACACCAATTATTCTGTCTGCCTCCAAATTCTGAGAGTTTGGCCAATTATACCGTGGAGTGATTAATCACAGAGCTGTCGGTGTAATTAAAGAGTCCAGCCCGGCCAATTCAGTGCTCAACTGGGTCAAAAACATGGGTCCCAGTTCACTTTAGGACAGCAGACAGTGCAATCTGACTGAAGTGCTCCTTGTTTACACAGTTATCCTTTTTTATCAAGGATATGTGGTATTTAAACCGTTTAATGAATTGCAGTCCTGTTTACATAGCTGCCGCTTTTTTCTATGTCCACCTGTCCATATAACTTGTTTCTTCATGTAACCGCTTAATATTTGTGTTTGGATGAACTTTAGACTTTGAGCAAGTCTTCTGCTTTGGTGTGTAATAGTCCCGCCTGCCTGTTAATCCTGTCTGCACTGCAGGTTGCCTCACAGACAAACTGATGTACTGTACAGGAAGTATGCAAAGTTTGAAGTGTGTTCTAGGTTGCCCCCTGCTGGACATTCTTCTCATAGTTTTCCAGACAGATGTGGACACGCTGAGTGAAGTAGCTGGGGTCAGAAATGGCCTGGAGGAGGTCGGTTTGGATCAAGGCGATATCATACAGCTCGGCGGTGCAGGCTATACGAGTGTCTGAGCCACCCGGGTCCAAAAACACCTGCAAAACACACACACACACACACACACACACACACACGGAAACCAGAGTAAGGTTAGAAGTCATGTTTAGTTTCTGGAGCTCTGAAGCAGCTACAGCCTACATCTCTGCATCTACCAGCCTGTATGCAGTTATGACATACAGTCTGGGGATTATATATATAATAGAGCCTCAAAATACATGACAAATACACACGTGTGAAACATACGGCAACAGGCTGGTGTACGGCAGTGAACACCTAGTGAGCCATGCCGAAAACAAAATGCCATCTCTAAATTACAGAAGCGTTGCATTCACAAAATCAACCCATTTCCAAGACCCTGTCTCCTCCTACAATATGAAATCTATTATCATGAACTAATTTGGTGTACTTTATTTTTCTAAACTCACCAGATATAGGCTGAACTGTGTGAGTAAAGCAGTGCTATTACCTTCGGGTTAACTATAGTATCCTCATCATTCTGTCGTATGTTGTCATCTATAAAGATGTGCTGTACGTGCTTGTCAAAGGGGTCGACCCACATTGGTTTCCCCCCACGGATGGAGAAGGAATTAGCAGCCCACCTGGACAGAAAACAACGAATATAGGGAAAGGTTTGGAAAAGCTCAGAATAAAACCCCAAAATCCACAGCCAGGTTTTCTTAGAGAAGCTTTCTGCATACCAGTCAAAGTGGTCCTGAAATCCTCCCAGACCCTGCACGGAGCTGAAGTACTCGTACAGACCTCTCTCTCCATCGCGAGAGGACACCCGCTCCTCGGCTCGATTCAGGACGATTCCCTTCTTGCTGCAGCGGATCTTGCCCGGAGTCACAGCCACGCTCAGCTGAGCCAAGAGCAAGAAGAAGAGTCAGAGATAAAGAAACGAGACGGAGAGCTCTTCTTTAAAAGAACTCTGTTGTAAGCAAAAACTAAAATAAAAATAAACCAATTATGTGATATTATTCTGTTATTAAAATAAGGCCTCTGGTAGACTTGACCTAAATTAATTGTGCAATCAGCTTAAATTCTTGCAGATGTGAAATTTTAAAAATGCTTTGGCAGCCACGTGCACAACAACTCTGCCATCCTGTACTGTGGGAAATGTCCTCAGCTCTACCGTGATTCCTTTATTGTCTTGCTGACAAACCATTTTTCTTCACCTACTTCATATCTTAGCTAAAAGTTGTCCTCTGTTGCCAGCGTGAGCAGAGGGGTTGGGGACAACAGGCACACAAACAGGCGTATCTGTTTAAATATCTTTGTGAGGCCGTTAATCAACAATTTCATCCAAAGTTTAGAAATGAAATCTTTACTCTAACCTAAATATACGTCTAACCTCAACCATAAAACCAAATTCAAACAAGGCTAGAATTTCAGGATACATAGAAACACACACATATGTTTTTATATTTCATTCATTTTTAATATTATCAATAATTTATTTTATATTTATCTTTCTTTAATATTTATTATTTTTATTCCATTTTCCTTTTGTTTTACCAATCTAAATGTAAAATGGACTTTTCTCCATTAACAACTTACTTTCCTGTAAAAACGTGACTTTTTACCCCTTTATTCTAGTGTACCTACCTTTAAGTACTGGCAGGTAGGGCTGAACGATATATCGCATTTGCGATAATATCGCGACATGATCAAGTGCAATTTTCTAACCGCAAAGGCTGCGATTATACTCTGGACATGTCCAAATTCATGGGCTGCAT